TGTCGCTGCTCCCCCTGCCTCAATAATGGCATGGCAGTGCTCAAAGGTGAGAGGAATCAGACACCACTAATAATATTATATTATATTCATTCTTTTTTATCAACATTTGAATGTTGGTAATTTTCATTAAAAAAAACTACAACAAAAAACATTTCACTTCTTCACTTCTTCTGGTTTGTATTCAGAACAATGATCAAAACCAAAGACTATAGATATAGAAAGACAGTGCACTCAAATTACAATAAATGTGAGGAATTGCAACACGCAATATGGCGAAATACCTCCCGCCTTTTAAGTAAAAGAGCCAATTGCTGATTGGCAAAGTCATTACATCACTGCAGCTGCCGTTAGAAGCTCCGTTCCCATAGAAACCTGCGACTCGCGCTTAAAACAGGACATGCAGTGGCTCATCTTGTCTGACTGGCTGTCGGTGAACATGGCAAACTAACGATCAAAGACTAACGAAGATTTTACCCATGGATCAGAGGAATCTTTTAGGATGTGCAAGCTCTGTCTCAGATCGCCAAATCGTGGCCAAAATCGTACAGTTTGAACACGGCTTTAGTGACATAGATCCGCAATCAGCATTCATATTCCCTAATGATCTGATGGTAGCAGATTTGTTAAGTGTGTCAAAGGTTTCGGGCTCCAATCCGTCCTCGTATAGTTTTTTCCCCATTGTCATTAAAATCAAAGATGTTCATCAATGATTGTATCCCTCAAGAGCAGGGACATGTTTGTACGGAAGCTCTGAACCGCAACGTAAAAAAAAAAATATCTAGCATTTCGAGATTAAAGTCAACATTTTTTTGAGATTGAAGTCGTAATGTTTCGAGATTAATGTCGTAATGTTTCGAGATTAAAGTCGAAATGTTTCGAGATTAAAGTCGAAATGTTTCGAGATCAAAGTTGAAATGTTTCGAGATTTAAGTCGAAATGTTTCGAGATCAAAGTCGAAATGTTTTGAGATCAAAGTCAAAATATTTCGAGATCAAAGTCGAAATGTTTCGATATCAAAGTCGAAATGTTTCGAGATCAAAGTCAAAATATTTTGAGATCAAAGTCAAAATGTTTCGAGATCAAAGTCGAAATGTTTCGAGATCAATGTCGAAATGTTTCGAGATTAAAGTCAGAATGTTTCGAGATCAAAGTCAAAATGTTTCGAGATCAAAGTCGAAATGTTTCGAGATCTAAGTAGAAATGTTTCGAGATCAAAGTCGAAATGTTTCGAGATCAAAGTCGGAATGTTTCGAGATTAAAGTCGAAATGTTTCGAGATCAAAGTCGAAATGTTTCGAGATCAATGTCGAAATGTTTCGAGATTTAAGTTGAAATGTTTCGAGATTAAAGTCGAAATGTTTCGAGATTAAAGTCGGAATGTTTCGAGATTAAAGTCAAAAAGTTTAGACATTAAAGTCGGAATGTTTCGACATTAAAGTCGGAATGTTTCGAGATTAAAGTCAATTTGTTTTGAGATTAAAGTCGAATTGTTTCGAGATTAAAGTCGAAATGTTTCGAGAATAAAGTCGAAATGTTTCGAGATTAAAGTCGAAATGTTTCGAGATCAATGTCGAAATGTTTCGAGATTAAAGTCGAAATGTTTCGAGATTAAAGTCGGAATGTTTCGTGATTAAAGTCGAAATGTTTCGAGATTAAAGTCGGAATGTTTCTGTCACATGCCTGTCCTGTCTTGTGTTGCACATGGGTGTTTTGTTATTTTGGGCCATGTGCTCGTGTCATTGTCTGATCCCTCCCCCTCGTTACCTGATGTGTTTGAGTTGTTCCACCTGTTCCCTTTATAAGCCTCCTTTTGTTTGCAGTCTTTGTCGGTTCATTGTCAGATGTTTCCTGGTTTGGTCTTTGTGTTCCTAGTTGGTGTTGTTTTGAGTATTCAGTGTTGTTCATGTTTCTTTAATTATGTTTTTTCCCCTTGTGGGTTTTTACTTTGTGTTTTGTTTTCTTTTGTTAAATAAATCCTTATACTGCATTTGAGTTCTCCCTCTCCTTTTGAATCGTGAGAGTTTCGTGATTAAAGTCGAAATGTTTTGAGATTAATCTCGAAATGTTTCGACTTTAATCTCAAAATACTTTGACTTGAATCTCGAAATGCTAGATTTTTTTTTTTTTACGTTGCGGTTCAGGGCAATTTTGTATGCATGTTCTCTTTTTATGTGAAATAATGATAAATATGGTTTGATACAGCATGATTGATGTGCACTCCTGAAACATATTATTAAATTACTGTAACATTCTTTCTTGTAAATCAGTGGTCAAATATCAGTGCTGGAGTCTAAAGTCTTAAAAGACCAAATGTCCACATCTGTCATGCTCGAGGTCTGAGGCTATCGGCCGTTGTACTGTTGAAGTCAGTATTCTGAAGGGTGCAGGACATTACAGTCTCATATGTGCTAGTTTGGAGCACTTCCAATTCATTTCTACAGTAGTAATTCTACACACAAGAATGTCTTAAGGGAAACAACTATGGAAATGTATTCATTTGTTAATTTAAAAATGGGAAGCAATGTCTTGTTGTGGTAACTAGGAAAACAAATGGAAAAACTGACTCTGGATTGTTGAATTATTGAAACACAATTGAGAGGTAATGAGGTCATTTTCATCTCATCTGCATTGTATTCAGATCATTTGTAAATATTCCAAGTATAACAAATGTAGGTAGTTCCTTTGATGCGTATGGGATGTGTAATAATTGTCTGTTTCTCTCGATAGGCACCAGGTGTATTTGTATTTGTCCAGCTGGTTTCAGAGGAGTGAGCTGTGAGATCACCCAACGGAAAGGTTTGTCTATCTCTATAAGAGAGAGATGCTGTGGCCTTGTCTCAAATGACTTTGGAGGACTAAAGCTTGTGCTAACTGAAAACACGCAAACCTAACCCATGCATGTGTCCTGTTATCGCACACACACACAGCATTTGCAGTCGACGGCAGCTGGAGCTGCTGGTCTTCATGGTCCGCCTGTTCAAGGAAGAGCCAGCTCCGCACCCGCCGGTGTGACAATCCAGCCCCGCAGAACGGAGGAGCCGAGTGTGTCGGGCCTCAAGAGGAGTCTGCTGACTGCCTCTAACATGTGTGTCATCTGTCAGATTCACAAACAATGTAATACCGTGTTGTTACAGTTCTCAGAAGCGGAAGCCGTCATAGTTGGGTAAACGTCTATAGTGCTGAACAGGAGATGACAGCAAATATCAGTTTTGTATTTTCTGCAATAGCAAAAGAATAAAAAAGCTGCGGGAGTTTTTCCGACCCAATCACAGATTTTACGAGGTGGCTAATTAGTATGAATTTGTACGAATGACCTACCCCTGACCCCGCCCCTAAACCTACTGTACCCATCACGTGGGTTTAGACAGATCGTACAAATTCGTACGAGTGAGGTTGCATGAATTAGTACGATTTCGGCACTTTTTAATCACTCGTACGAATTCATGCGAATTGTTCGTGAGATAGCGTTGGTGTTTCCATGACTTTCCAAATGAGGGAAAATTGTACTGGTTACAGCATTCGCAGCATTTTCTTTTTCATTTACTGCCAAGGTAACACAATACAGCATTATTAATGTGCATTACACACAAAATAAGTGGATACGTGTCATCACAGTCTGTGAAAAGTGTCCAGAGTATTAAAAAGACAACAATTATATAGTTAAACATTGTTGTAAAAACATTCCTTTACTCTGCTGAATAGGGCAAATAAATAAATAAATAAATATATTTTTTAACGAGAGCTGCAATTGCTTGAAAAAAGTAATTATTTCACAGATATATATATATATATATATATGTGTGTGTGTGTAAGATGACAATATGTCTGTATTATTCCCCAAAATTGTGAGTATTTTCATGACAATTAAGTATATTCTCATTAGTTTTGCTTTGGGGGAAAATTTAGTGTTAAGAAATTAATGTTAATACAAAAAACCATAAAGATTTTCTTAAAGCAAAATGTCTTGATTTTAAGCTGAAACATGAAACTGACATATTGAGTACCAGTTAACTGAATGTGTCTATCGCATTGGGTAGTGACTTCTTCATGAAGTCCTACAATATTGGCCTGAACAGAAACACATCGCTACACTTGGACCAACACTAAATGAACTAAACTAGATATCCACCCAAACAAAAACTGGTACTTTACATGTTGTTGAGCACTTTTGCTGGTCCTAGTGAATCAGAAAAGTATTCACAGCGCTTCACTTAATACACATTTTTTTCTTTTTGTTGTCTCCATTTTGTTACAGTCTTATTCCATAATGGATTAAATTCATTATTTTCGTGAAAATTCTACAAACAAGCCTCATAATGACAACGTGAAAGATGTTTGTTTGAAATCTTTGCTAATTAAAAATGAAAAAAATCACAAGCATTCACAGGCTCAACATTGAGCTCAGGTGCCTCCTGTTTCCTCTGACCATCCTTGAGATGTTTCTCCAGCTGGATTGGAGTCCGCCTGTGGTAAATTCAGTGGGTTGGACATGCACACACCTGTCTATATAAGGTCCTGGTTTGAATCTTCTTACAGACACTCATCGCTATTTAGAGAACTATAGGGAACTTCCACACATTGAAATTAGCAAGTGCAACGGGTCCAGGTTGATGGGAATCCACTTTGCATTGTGTTGATGGACTGAATAAAGAAACTTCAACCCACTTGCTGTTCAGCACTGTTTTATTTTCTGCATAAATGTGAAATATAATCTGTAAACATGTATTTTGTGACTTTCTCTGCTTATAGCATCATTCGATGGCTTGTTGAGCCACGAGACAATTTCCTCTTTGTATTCATTTATATATGAACGCACATTGAGTTAACCAGCTTACTATAAAGCAAACAAAATGGAACACGAAGGACAACAAAATGACAACATAATTGAATCAGAATGATTTCTTACTGTGGTTGCAACTATCTAATATTCTGTTGATTCTTATTTTAAAATGATAATATGGATAATATATGAAAACTGAATGACATAACCAACACTACGAGTCAGAGGTTTGGACTGAATTTATTATCTTTCCTATATTCATGAAAAATTATAAACACAGACATGATGTTTTAGTCAAATTTAACTGATGCTTTGTGTTCTTTGTATGTCTGAATTTGGTCATTATCGAAACTCTAAAATGCAAGATGAAAAAAAAAAGTAAATTTTAGTGCCTTTAAATAAGAACTGGAGCTGTCAAGTTCCAAAAACACCATAAATGTTCCCAGCTTCAGAAATTTCAGCTGGTATTTTTTGCTTTCAAATCTCAAACACTTCTCACAAACCTTATTACAATTGATCACATAACATTTTTAGGCAAACTTTTACTTAAAATGTAACAATTAAAAAAAAATCTGCCTTATGTTGATAGGACAGTATCATGATAAACAATATAAAAGGAGAAAGGGGAACATGATGGGCCACAAGCCAGCACTCAATATCATTAAAAAGTATCATATTTGAACTAGATTACAACATTAGGTAGTAAAGGTAAATCCAAAATCGTCATTTAAGTTACCAAAATGAACAGACTCAATCTTTAATGCCCACAGGTGTGATGTTGTAAGAACACTGTCAGATTGTTAACAACTTCTCTTCTGATGACTGCTTCCTTGACAAGGCAGACCTCCGTCTTTTGGCGCGGGATTGTTGCATTCTCGCGTCCGTGTCTTTACTCCAGACACACACGGGGACCAGTGGCTCCAGCAGCTCCAGACTCCATGTGTGGGACCTGTCAGAGGGAGTGTGTGTGCTCTGTCAAGTGCTGACAGATCATCATAGACACCAATAAAACACTTGATAGTCAAGTAAGCCTGGTTTTCTGCCTTGTGTTAGTACTGCAATTCTGAGTGTGTTTGTGTCCTGTTTCTCCTGTGACTCCTTGATTTTCTGCCTGTTCTTTTCTGTTATTGTTTGGATTGCTTGTTTGTGTATGACCCTTGCCTGGATTTGGATTTTGTCTTTGGACTACCCTGTTCAATAAATACCACGTTTGGAAACAGGGGTTTCCAGTAACAGGGTTCAGAAGTGCTGCTTTAGATGTTGGCTGCGTCTGAAAGATTAGGCAACAGCCCTGCAGAGTTTAGCTTCAACCCATATTTGTTTAACACACTTTATCCAGGCTTATGTGAAAACTACAGGTGTGTGTGTTGGAACTAAACGGTGAAGGCACCAATTCTCAGGTTTCAGACGCAGACGTTATTTTTATTTCGAATAGAGTTTCGCCTCTTCTGACTCAAATCACATACATTTGTAAAATAAGAGTTATAGTTTGGTAAAGGACATTACCTTTTCTCTCAGTCTCCTCACAGGCTTTACCTCTGTATCCACTTTTACATATACAACTGCACTCTGTCCTGGAGAGCATGGGGATGCCGTTATTCAAGCAGGGGGCACAGCGGCACGGGTTGAAGTTCTCCATATACTCTTCCAATGCCATCTTCAGGTGGGGCAACTTCGCGCGCAGCTGCTCGGCTGATGTGCTTAAGCGTACCAACTCATATATTGGTGCAATCTATGACAGGACCACAAAGACCAGAAACGGAGAAGAAATAACTACAAATAGTATATAGCTTAAATTAAACATAGAGTTTTGACAGAGATTAAAATTTGGGTTGAAAATCGTTCATAATGAGAAACCCAATGGTGCTGGGTTAGGAATGAAGGACACCATGCATGTCATTCGAACATGGGAAAAACTGTGGACTGCAGCTTTAAATCATTATAAATTTCTACCGAATAACACATGATACTAAGAGAACACATATATGTGAGTTGTTGATCCACCCAAAAAATTCTAATCTATCTGTATCCTTATCTTAGAAAACAACATTTGTCTGAAAAGTGTCTCACATTTATTTCATTGGCAAAATTAAACAAAAAAAAATCTGTCATTTTTGACCTGCGAAGAGCAAGTTAAGTTAGTAAGGCAAATGCACCTCAAACTCAATTAGCGCAGGGTTATATTTGAGACTCTTGCCCCAATCCTTGTAACTTTTGGCATCTCTGATATCCAAACTTCCAATGCTGGAGCCTGTGTCTCCACCCTTCACAAAGCCCAAGACATCCTCAATAGCACTGTTGGACTGATCACGAACTGTTAAAAACAAAATAAATGTTAAAAGTTGCATTTTTTAAGTATAAAACCAAAAGAAGAAAAGAAAATGCATTGGGCTCCAAGTTACGTACCCTCATCCATTGTTCCAACTTTTTCACAGAATTTTAGTTTTCCCATTGTAATTTTGACCCTATTGTCCAATGTCAGGCCCAAGGAACCACCAAGGCACGCTCCAATCTCTAGCGCAGTTTTTTCTAGTGGGAAATGGCACAAGCACCAATTAGATTTTCTAACTTGAATAAAGTTAGCTAAATACAGTTGAGTCACTCATGCTTTATTTGGGTTGTATGTGTAATTTACTCACCACTTCTTTTCATGGCATTCTTGTTCACCACAGCAACATAATCAAGGACCCCACCCATGGTTCCCTCTGTGACATAGTGTGTACCATATTCATTGAAGAAATTGGAATATGCACCAAAATTGTACTGATCTGGCAGATCCCCCAGAGCCCAGAGCATGTCCTCATCCAGAGTTAAGTCTCTGCTTCTCATCTTAAACTGGGCCGTTTGCACTGTTGACAACAGCCTGACAAAACCCATCTCCTAAACATGAAAAGGAAACAATGGATGGGGGTTATTAGGAGGCCATGATTGGCAAAGGCCAATAAATATAAGCGTGAGCCCCATCATCTGATTATGAAAATCCATACTATCTCTTGCTTTGGCTACCGGCTACCTACATTGATTTCCTAGGAGAGTTTGAGGATTTTCTCTCAGACATATTGTTCAGGGGTGGCCGTTTACATATGGCAGAGTATGGCGTTAAGATTTCCAGTGGCAAGCAATTTGTCTGGCCAAACCAGATTCGATCCGAGTTGTGGCAAAACCAACCAAAAATCAAAGCTAATCAGAAGAGCGTATGTTCGGGCTTACTGTGAGACTTACTACTGCACAATTAATCGCAGCACCCTTAAATTCAACAGCATTCTTAGTGGCCAGGAGAGTCATTACAAGACAGAAGTGTACAATACATCCAGCCTACCAGCCACTGCCCAAATCTATAAGTGACTTCTTAAAAAAAAGAGCTGTTTATAATATGCAGGATTGGCAACACTGGTACATGGTGAGAGTAAAGAGAGTTGTGTCCAAATCTATTGCTTTACCTTGTTATTGTATTGGGATATGTTGGTGAGAAACTTGAAATGGCTACTAACTTCCCGACCAACTTCCACAAAAGAGACTTGGTTTGATTTACTGAAGCTGAAGGATCCTTGTGTCTGACTTGCTCTGAGAAAGCTGACAGCATCCTCATGATAGTCCGAGGCTTCCTCGGAAGTTGCTTGTGCCTGGCGAGGACAAAAGCACAGTCAGCGGATGAGTCTCAATTGTAAGGTTGCACCCTAGTTAGGGTGTGTCCTTCTTCACCCAGTCCTACTCAGCATTACACACAAGAATGAGTCCGCAAGGGCCTGACTAGGAGACAGCCTTGAACATGTGAAATTCAGATTCTTTAAAAAGGAATTCAGATCAGTTACATTTTTTAAATTTCTATTTGAGGATTGTTTGATTGGTAGCATAACGTGCTACATAGTCATTCTCAGCAAACAATGCCATTTATGCGCTATGTGTGTCCCCAAAACTTACTAATAATAGAATTATGCTGCAAAACAAAAGAGCATGGATTAGATTCTGGAAATGCATGAACATGTTAAAAATGTGTACTCCAACATCCTATCTAAACACAAATTGACCCAACTGTTCTAACCACATATTTAAGATTCGGTTTAAGACTAATTTAAGAATTACCCATTGGAAAAACCCATATTGGTTGAGCAATAATCTAGAGAAATATGTCCCAGATAGCAGACTGACATTGAATCAGCGTGGAAATATGACATCGAAACAACGTTGATATGACATTGTTTTGCTCATCGAATTAACGTTGAACCAACGTCAGACGCGTCATTCTTTCAAAACTATCGGAAAATCAACTTGAAATCAACGCGTTGTTTCAACGTTATGAAAGCAAACCAATTTTCGATTTTCATTTAGCTTTGAAGAATGCCGCGTCTGACGTTGGTTCAACGTTAATTCGATGAGCAAAATCAACGTTGTTTCAATGTCATGAGAGACGTCGTTTCCACGTTGATTCAATGTCAGTTTGCTGTCTGGGGTAATATATTGCACGCCGCAATTAACAAGGTTCAAGCATTTAAGGCCTTCATGGCAACAGTGACTACGTTTACATGCAGCCAATTTTCGGGTTATGGTCGGGTTAAGGTCACTATTCGGGTTTCTGAAACATTAGGAATAACCCGTTTGCATGCGTGAGCAGAGAGAGTTTCTCCTGTATACATGGAATTGCATTATCCCGATGTAAACGGCGACGCGCGGTTAGTGTCTAGACGTACAGACAACCTACACAATATGCGTCATTTCCGATTCTTCTTCCTGTATCCAAAGAAAACAACAGCAGCAGCATGCGGATAATGAACAGTTTGGGGCCAGATAGCGATCGCCTTTGTTTGCGCTTTGATGCTGGTAACGTTACTGTACGTTCACACCGCCACCGGCGAGAGCGTCAAAGTGGCCGGAAGTCATTCATTTTCATTGAGAGCCGGCGGCGAGCTCCGGTGAGAGCGGCGCGTTTCGGGAGATGGTGCTCACTGCGGAACATGAAATCCACGGGGAGGAGTCGGATCCAGATCCAACTCCTCCCACCTTACATACACCTAAACCTAACCAACTCCGCCCCCTAATCCCTAAACCCAACCCTAATCCTACCCATCTCCACCCCTTGGATCGTGATCCGACTCCTCCCCGTGGATCTCATGTTCTGCATTGAGGTGCTACTGCGTTTCGGATGGCAAGAGCGGCAAGGAGAGTTGAAATCAGTTCAACTTTATGTTAATAAGCAATGACGCGGTTCGGCGGCAACCAATCGGAATGTAGAAGTGCTCCGTTTGAGAGAATCCCAGAGAACGTAGTCCTGTAAACTTTGGTTCCGGCCACATTAGTTCCCAAGCAAAATAGAGGAGGTTGATAATTTGATAAGAGCGCGCGCAACACTATTTATAAGCAAGATTTTCGTGCTAGAACACTTTTTCAGCGGTAATGCAAATTATAATAGCACTTAACCATGAACACAAAAGCCACACCACACATATGGCTTTTAATTTGTTTATTTCATTAGCAAACATGTCACTATAATTTTAAAGTTATTTCCATCTATCAATTTTCTGCAAAAATAACCGACATTTTTGTTTGCATACCATTTTAAAAAAGATCACGCATTGGATCTACATAAGAGCGTCCACGAATCTTTCCACGGCGTCGTTGACAGAGCGGCAAGAGCGAATTTTGCCGCTCTCGCCGGCGGCGGTGTGAACGTACGGTTACTGACCTCGCTGGTCAGTGCTGCGTCCAGGCTGCGTCTCGCCATTATTACTTCCGGTATACTGCACGCGGATTTTTGTATGCACCGAGAAGTTTCTGTACTCAAAAGACCAAGATTCCTTGCGAATAGAACATGCGCAGAACACAAATCACTATGGGGATATGCCGATATGCGTTTACATGACCAAAAATTCGGGTTAGAAAAGGGGTACCCCCAGTGGTGGAATGTAACAGAGTACAAATACTTTGTTACTTTACTTAAGTACATTTTTCACGTATCTTTACTTTACTTAAGTAGAATAAATAGTGCATACTTTTTACTTTTACTTCGTTACATTTTGCAGCAATTATTCTACTTTCTACTCCACTACATTTCTACAACTTCTGTTACATTTTCGTTACATTTTCTGATCAGTTTTTCCACTGCCAAAACGTAATCTGACCGTCCGTTCGTTGCACGTTTGTCTCACCAGTGACGTTTGGTTGCCATAGATACATCAACTAAATGCGTCTCGCACGCAGTGTGTTTATCATGCAACTCATACGCGAAAATTTGTTTTTACGTGCGAAACACACCCTGTGTAATATATGTTTGGTTTGGTTAGGATTATGGCAAGCCAAGAGGTTCAGAATTACACCATAAATGAATCGCGTTTACTGCCAATAGTTATTAACATATAGTAAGGATAAGCATGATATTTCCTAATTGCAAGCTTGTTTCAGAAATGGTGACATTTTTCCCATCATTATTGAACATCATTATAGGAGTAGGCTATTAGGTTAAATGAGTTAGAATTAAATGTTTTATTAATCATTAGAAAATAGACATTAAGAGAATCAATTGTTATGCAAGTACTTTTACTTTTAATACTTAAAGTACATTTAAAATAAAGTACTTTTTACTTTTTACTTAAGTATGGTTGTCATTGTGTTACTTCTACTTTTACTAAAGTAAATATTTATCTGGGCATTTGTACTTTTACTTAAGTACTGAGATTCAGTACTTCCTCCACCACTGGGTACCCCATGTATAATATCCCGGTTTTAAAAATGCAGAATATGAGCATATTCAGGTTTTTCCCGGTGTTTACATGGCTGTTCTTGACCGGGATGTAGCCGAACTGTTGGTCTGAAACCATAAAATATCCATAATAGAGAATACGCAAATGATACAATCTATAGTTCCAGTCAAATTCAGTTGTTCTCCATATCTCCACAGTTTTGTGAAGTTCCTACTTTTTGCACACAATATTTTACGTTACTCACAATGTCATACAGGCAATTTACTATTGGAAATATGTTTTTTTAAAGCTTTTTAACAGTTATAGCGCCATCTATGGTCCGATCTACATAAAAATGTGCATACTTGTTAAAGGGTTAGTTCACCCAAAAATGAAAATTAAGTCATTAATTACTCACCCCCATGCTGTTCCAACCCCGTAAGACCTTCGTTCATCTTCGGAACACAAATAAAGATATTTTTGATTGAATCTGAGAGCTGGATCAGTCCTACATAGGCTGCCTAAGGGACTGGCTCTTGACGGCCCATAAAGTCATTAAAGAAAAGGTTTAAATATTCCATGTGCCTACAGCGGCTCAATTATAAGTTTATCAAGCGACAAGACTACTTTTTGTGCGAAAAAAAAACATAAATAACGACTTTATTCGAGTATTCCATTACTTCCTTATGGGCGCATGCGCGAGAACTGAGACGAGGACGTTCTCCTTCGACTACTTCTTGTTACCGGCTGCTCACCGCTTAGGAGTATTGTATGAGGTTGCATTGTGCTTAATAAAGCCAACTTTAGGATATATTGTGTCCATATTAGTCCATATATGCTTCATGATTGGTATTGTAAGCCTCCTAAAGCCATTGCATGGATGTGAGGAACAGGTTCATATCAGCGCTCACCATGATCTGATATGTGAGGAAGTTGTGTGGTTTCCGGTAATATTTTTCAGCATCATCATAACTGAGGTGTTCACAGAAAGGATCATACGTGAGTTTCCGCCATTCTCCATTATAGATGTATTCACAAACACCTCCAAAGTATCTTGGGTCCAGAACATTCTTCATAAATTCTCCCGTTAAAGCATTATATCTGAGGGAATTAAACACAACATGATTCAGGATTTGGATACATGTTGTACTTGTTAGAATATACTGAAATATAAATCAAAAATGTGATTTTCAGATATTTAGCATGCTGTCATCATTTTCCCTCGCTCATGTCATGTGGTTCCACATATTTGTAGATATTTTGAAGAATGTTGTGAACCAAACCCTATTGATTCATGTGCAGACATTATACAGTAGATTTGAATAATATTGCTTCAGATACTGAAATGCTTTTTGAGTAACTGTACATTGATACTGATACAACTCCGGAAATGCACAAGTCAAGATAATAGACAGATTAATTTTAAGTTTTATATGAATGGATAAGGGAAAGTGTATATCGCAGGTCCTATGACACATCTAAACATGTTTTCTTAACTCTATAAGCTGCAGTTCTTGTCTTAATCAGGTGATATCTCTAATAAAACACATTTCCAATGCTGAAAGCACATCATTCCATTAATAAAATCAGAGACACGTGTGCACTTTGTTTCTTACCCTCGGGTGGCTTTTTCCGCTCCTGGTATGATCAGGATGTCGGTACACTTGGTTTCTCTTCTATTCAACACTTCACAGTCCATCTCATCTTTCTGATTTACACAGTCTATTTCATCATTGCAACGGAGCGGCTGTCCAATACAACGTCCTGTGAGAACACAGACAACACATTTGAAGGAGACCTATCATGCAAAATTCCCTTTTACATGGTGTTTGAATGTGTGTGTCTGCAGTGTGTGTGTACACAACCACCCAATAATGCTAAAAATTCTCTCACTCTTTTTTTTCGTCCCCATAAATAATAAACAATGTCTCAGAATAAGCCGTTTTCAGTTTCTATACAATGTGACGTCGCACATGCTTCGGCACCGCCCACAACTGCTGACAGACTCCACCCCATTATGCTAGGCCCCGCCCATCAGTGAGCTGTACACAGTCCGCCATGTTTATCTCCACGCCAGAGCATTTAACAGCAGCATTCAAGCAAGAAATGTTTTCTTATTAAAGCTACTAAAGTTATTCTGTCAAAAGCTGTGAGTGATTTTCTGTTTTTCTCTTGTTGTTTGATTCATATTAACAACATGTATAGCAGTAGGTCCTGCTGTCACTTTAATAAACAGATCTAATATACACATGTGATTTCTTTCCCTGCCGTTTACGTTCACGGACATAACCGACTGTTTATATGAACTTTGTGTATATGTGGACAGTTTAAGGGGATAGTTCACTTTAAAATTAATATTTGATATGTTTTATCTTACCTAAAGGGCATCCAAGACGTAGGTGTCTTTGTTTCCACAGTATTTTCAATTTTGATATTTTTAGGTCAAACCGTTGTTGTCTGTCAGTCATATAATGCAGGTCTATGGTCACCACCTCAAAGAGCAGCACAGAGAAGTCCAAATTAAACATGATTTAATGACTCGTGAATGTAAGTACACACTGATGGCCTAAGACACGAAACGAGCGGTTTGTGAGAGAAAACGAACATTATTTATATCGTTTTTACCTCGTGTAATCACAGCCACGTCCAAGTGATCTGAAGGCAAGGGCGCTTCGGTCTGCACATGCGCCGGAAAGCGCCGGAAGTGATCTCTCACACGGTTGCGGAAAAAAAGTCAACGTTGTCTGTTGATATATCGAAATCGTCTTCCATTGCAATTTCCTGCATATCTAAATTAGTCGTGGCAAGAGGTAAAAACGATATAAATACTGTTCGTTTTCTCACACAAACCGCTCGTTTCGTATCTTAGGCCATCAGTGTGTACTTACATTTACGAGTCATTAAATCGTGTTTAATTTGGACTTCTCTGTGCATGCTCTTTGAGGTGGTGACCATAGACCTCCATTATATGACTGACAGACAAGGACGGTTTGACCTAAAAATATCAAAATTGAAACTACTGTGGAAACAAAGACACGTAAGCTAAAACATACCAAAAATTAATTTCAAAGTGAACTATCCCTTTAAGCACAATAAAACGTGAGAGAGAACTGTCTGGCATTCAGCTTTCTGTGCGCTCAGAAAACCATTTATCAGAAGTTTACACTGCTTTAAAACATATACTTACGTGAGCATGAGCAAGAGGCGATAATCAAAACCAAACAGATGTTTTAGTTTTTGACAGAGTATCCGAGGCTCCGCCCTCTTCTGGAAAGCTAATTTGCATTTAAAGATACATGCACAAAAACAGCATGTTTTTCCTTCCACTCAAAAATGGGCTCACCCGAGACGTCTTGTATAATAGGTCCCCTTTAACACACACACAGACAAACGTGTAGAAAAGAAGGCAGGCAGAAATATTTACCAGCGGGCTCACAAGCAAACATGTCCCCACAGTGGTCCTCTTGGAGTTGGCACTCGTCCTCTTGTGGACACTGTCTTTCGTCCCACTGACTGTGAACACACTGCTGACCGCCAAACTGAGACGGCCGTTCCAAGTACTGGAAGCGAAACTAGGAAACATCACAACATATTTTAAATGTTTATGTCCAATAGACACCAGCTTATATGTGTGTTGTTAACAGTCGCAATTTGATCACTTTAAATTGTTGCTTATGTTTGCATTAGAGCTACACTCGTTTGTTGCCCAGCAAATGTGCTATAATCCATGATGTCCACTAGAGTGGACAGATATTTTTAATTTATTTTAACCTCATTACAATGAACAAAACAGACTTTCTTTTCCATATTTGTTGGTTTGTAAGAGTGTCTAAAGTTATGTTTTTACCGTCCTGTCGCTACATGTGTTACAGGGTGACCAGGCCGTCCAGCTCTTGAGTTTACAGTCGATAGGAGAGGGGGTATCGGCTCCTCTGGTGTGTCTCGAAGATGCATTAGCCCTGAAGGGACACAATATGTGAAGAGAACAACGTGAAAAATAAAAGCTCCTAAAAGTACAGTATCTATTATTACCTGTTGCTTGATGATTCATCAGTAAATCTGGCAGAAACATGGTGACTGAAACATTCAAAGAAAAGTCCAAATGTGCAAACAGAAAACAAAAATCGGCACATAGCTGAGATGGTTGGTTTGAGATTGATCTGAGACTAGGTCCAGTCTACACATTGTTTGTCAGTAATACTAATGATTGACAGGATTTGGGGGAAAAAAGAAACTCTAGTCACTTTTGCCCAGAATGCTCCACCTCTACGCAAATACATGACAAGATCTACATGGAGAATTAGGGTTGACTGGTATTGAGTGAAAACAGTAATTATTACTAGATTGCATTGTATTCTGGCCACTATAAATGCATTTTGCACATAAAATAAATAAATAAATAAATAAATAATGGCAGAAAGTGACCATATTCTTTAACCCTACGGCTTTACCACAGCACACATTTATCTAAAGTATTTTGACAAGGCTAGCCTAGTATTAAAGGGACACTTCACCCATTTGCATTAAGCTTTGTATCTTTAGAAACCCAGTCATATTTTTGAATGGTCATGGTTTATTCCCTTATTTTCTCCTGAGGTGGGAGAAATAAGGATTTAAGTGTTTTACTTCTTGCTTATTCTGATGTAAAAATCGTCATTTTGCGTCATAATAAGCATGAAGTCATGTTTCATTAAACAGTGTAGAGACTACAAACTTAGCTTCTCATTATTATTCCAGGGTGTTTGACCCACTCACGCTACAGGCCTATTACAGATCAGTGGGTGGGACTTCACTTGCAGAAACTGAAATCAAGGGGGTAATCCATCGACCGGAAGTTGAAGCCTCGCGGGAGCTGCCATCTTGTAGCAGAACTTCACTTGTGTTAGCATTCCCATTGACTCCCATTCATTTTGGCGTCACTTTGACAGTGAATAACTCTACATCTGAGGCGTTTGAAGACCCCATTTGACCTTTATTTATTTCTAAAGAAATACGACAATGTATAAAATGCTCCATTACCTTGTAGCTTATGTTATGGCCCCGTAGAAGCAGTTTTAGTGAAAGTAGGCTAACGATTGCGTCATACGGGGAAACGTGGAGGCAAAATGACAAAATAATTAATCAGAATACCTAGCAAATGTTCCTCCTGCTCCTAGCTCATGGACAGCTCCTACTCACACTCTCCGCCTCTGCAAGTTTCGGAAGGGAATGATTCAGATTTCTCATGCCACAGCACTAGAAGATAGGGATGGCTGACGCGAAACAGACGTTCCGAAGCTTTGCGAGATCCCGAAGCAAAAATGATTCGAAACACTGATCCAAAGCGTGATTCAAAACACCCAGAGTCACGTGACAAAGGCTAAATGAAGCTTTTTTGATGTTTCATCAGGTGGAGTGCTCCGCCGAATCAGGGTTTGATTGATCGGTCGGTCGGGAAGGATCGCGTGAGCAAAGTGCACACAGAATGCCTATTCTTAAAGTCTTGTGCTATTTTATGAAGGCAAAAACCCATATAATGGTTTCGATTTTAGTTCAGCAAAAGCCAGGTTTGAACTCGAGGCCGAGCACATCAATTGCTCTTTCAAAAACTACGCGCTCTACGATCTACACCACTGTAGCTGTTCGTGACAGTCCTGTTTTTGCTCAAACCCCCCCTCCCCCATACATATATATATAAATATATATATACATATATTGTCTCTAGCGTTATATTTTGCCAATGAACTAAAATCGAAACATTATATGGCTTTTTGCCTTCATAAAACAGCACAAGACTTTAAGAATAGGCATTCTGTGTGCACAATATAGACAGATTAATAGAAAGAACAGAAGAGAAATTGATATTTTTAAATAAAAATCTATAAGAAAGTGAGACATTGTGGCTTGATTTGTTTTATTAATTTTTCATGACCAAAATAACATTATGCAATGTGAAGAGACTACAGGTTACAAGAATCATATATTTAAAAAATACAATAATAAAAAAAAACACATTGTTGTAAAGGTTGTCTCAGATCAACACCTGCAATTGACCACTAGGTGTCACCATGGAGAAGGGTGTCGAATTGATTCGAAGCCTCGAAACAATATAGCACATTTGCTTCAACTGTTTCATTGCTTCACAAAGCCTCGATCTGCCCATCACTACTAGAAGACAGACGGGTCGCCAACGTCACATCTACGTCGTCAAGCTCTGTTTGAGTCGGTTTGAGTCTGCGCGTCAGGAACGGAAGTGCTAAAAAAAAAAACGCTAAAAATGGGCTTCACTTGTCTCAATTGAGTTCCAATGAGATGGCTCTGTCCACTTCTTATATTGTCTATGTGTTATGAACTGCTCCGAGACTGGGAGATGTAGATCCAAATGCAGCTTTATTAAGAATAGTCGTACAGGCAGGGTCGAGAATCGTCAGACAGGACAATGGAGAATAAACAAAGGGAATCCAAGAAACAGGCAGAGGTCAGGGCAGGCAGCAATAATCAGAGTCCAAGAACAATCCAAAGTCAAAAACAGAAAAACAAACACGGGAAAATGCTCGGAAATGCAGACACACAGTACAACAAGACTTCGCAATCAGTGAATGTGAAAACCAAGTATATATATATATATATATATATATACAGGCAACCTGTAACTCGTGTTTTTCTGGAACGGCAGTCAAACCTGTGACATCCCACCCGTGAACTCGTACTAGATCGATGTACTCCCAGTTTCGAGTTCTGACGTCACATATCCCGCGAACCTATACAAAACTACAATGATAGCCCCTACAGATGCAGGCGGTACACGGTGAGGACACTTTAGGACAACATAACATTAACTAGTTTTCAGTCCATTGAGTGCAAGGATAAATTAATACCAAATACATTTCCAAATATACAAATAAAGTAACATAAAAGGTATAACAGCTTACAAATGCACGTGAGTCCCGTAAGGTCCGCCATGCTGGTTTGTTTACATCTAGGTAGTTTGGCGTGAATGACCTGGGGCCTCATGTATAAAAGTTTGCGTAGATTTCATCCTTAAAGTCCCCGTGAACCGGAAGTTGCAAACGACTTTTCTCCAGTGTTGTGACGTATTTCCGAGAGAAACGGAATACTAAATGAGGCAAAATAGTGGGCGTGCCTTTTTTTTCTAACTAGCACCTGATTGGATCTAGAAAAATGGGTGTTTCATTCTGAAATGGAGGATGACGCAAGTGCTGTCAATCAATGCTCGCTCGGCGCTCGCAAACACACAGCAGCTGTCAGTTGGAGGGCCGTGGTTATGGATGTTAAGGAGACATCCAAACCGTAAAGCCTACGTCATCGGGCAAGGTCCTCCAATGCAGAGGGGAGGGGCATTTTCAAACTTTGATTAAAGATTACGAAGCCAAAAATTTTTTTTGTGTGGATTGACTTGCATGTATGAATTGTTCACCACAAAACAATAAATTTAGGCAAACAAAGTAAGTATGGTCAATTTTGATTTCATAGGGACTTTAAAGTGTGCGTACGCAGATAAGGCAGAATTTGCGTACGCACAAAAGTTTTCAGATTTATAAAACCGTTCATACGCCAGAACCTGCGCAGAATTCACTTTATAAATCCCAGTCAGCGGGAGATTGTGCGCACGTGCGTCTCCTCCCCGAAATAATTAACCATATATGGAGATTACAACGCCTAGTTTTACTATGCATATCCTCATCTGCATATCATTTGCATATGATTATTCATCCACGTGATACCAAGTTTAACGCAAATATGAAATGCGGATGTGCCGTCACACTATTACAAACATATTTTTTTTAGTAGCCGATATCCTTGCCTTGGTTTTGAATGTATAAATCAAATAGTGTTAAATACATTTCAAAGAAAGTTTTTTTCAATCTTTTCCACTGGCCAAATAGTATTTTTAATTGATTTATATTTTAATGGAAACAGATAGACATGGTTGTGCATTATTTGCACGAAACATTTTTCTCAGACAATCTGCTATTAGCTATCAGTTAAAACATTAAAACACAGCATGCCAGAGGGAAAGTGTTCAAAAGCATTGCATCCACAACAAATAGGTCTATTTTTATTTATTGAATATCATTTTTTGTAACGTCTCAGTAATGATTTCATGTAGTTTAAGTGTTTAACTCCATTAATGAGAATGGCATATTTAATCTAAATGTTTATATCAGAAGTAAAACATAGTTTAAACCATTCTTTTATTTATTTAAACTATTATTGAGAACATGCACTTATGATTTGGACTTATTATGAAGATTTACGGTTTTACTCCGTCGGTGTATGAATGAGTGTATGAATGGGTGAATGTGAGGCAAATGTAAAGCGCTTTGGTGGCCATTAGGTCTATGAAAGCGCTATATAAATGCAGTCCATTTACCATTTACCATTTACTCCATCTGCCGTTAGATTAGCTATGTGCGTCAGTTTCACTAAACAGCCCAACGCACGTGCTGGCGCGGTCAATTAAGAAGGGATGGATGTTTGCTTCAAGTGATGATAGGTTTGTGAAATTATATTTGTATTATATTCTGTAGATGTATAATTTTCTTTAGATTCTGTCTAATAGTGAGCAAAAAGAAATTTGACTCCAGCTCACCATCGGTGTTGCCAAAACACATAGCCTACTCTTCTAAAAGAGTGCGTACGCATGGTCAAGAGCATCCTTACGGTGCGCACTTATTTACGCCAAGTTTATTTTTTAAAAATCCCGATATGTGCGTGGAAAAATGCGTACGCATATATCTATGCCCATTTTGTGCGTACACAACGTTTATACATCAGCTACAAAGTCGTAAGTCGTTGTTTGAAGTCGTGATTTACGTGCTCAAAAACCTGCCTGGAACACAGCAATAGACAGACTAACAGGATGAGACACAGGTGAATGCAATCAGTGAATGAGGTACAGGTGAATGTGATCAGTGATGATGAGTCCAGGCAGTGAGTTCTGGGAAATGTAGTTGTGAAATGGAACATGAACATCTGGTGTGGAGTGCCCTCTGGTGACTCTCAAGGGCACTCCACCTGGTGACGGTGTTAGGGCCGTTACATAGTCAACGCGAGCTACGCGAGAAAGCAACGCGAGTGACGTGAGCGGCGCGCTTCCTTAATATAGTGTTAAAGCAGACGCAAGCGTCACGGGCGATGCGTAAAATGCAATACACCGGTCACGCAACAGGGGGTAGTAGATTTTTCACTGCAAACCTGAAAAAGCGATGAAGCTCGTGAAGGCGTGCGTGGCTCTCCACAACTTTCTGGCATCCACTGAACGTGCCAGATACATGCCCGCCACCTTTGTGGATGCGACGCCTGACACCGGAGAGGTCCAGCCTGGAGAGTGGAGTGGAGGCAGCACGTTGTTGGGGACCAGAACATGGTCGACGGACCACGGTTTTCGGTCGGCAGCAGCAGACCCTCCCGGAGAGCGGCACTTGTCAGGGAGCAGCTGGCTGATTACTTTTTATCAGATGCTGGCGTGTTTCCCCACCAATACAGTGTGCTACGATTGGGTAGCACTGACAAATAAATTGATAAAAGTTCGATTTGAAGCATGAGTTTTTTATTATTATTTAACACTTCACACATTTTAACTTATTTGGTATTGTGTGAAAACCATTACACATTTTTTATTATTTGGTATTATTTAAATTATGTAAAAACCATTACACATTTTAACTAATTTGGTATTTTAATTCATTAATTCATATCCATAAATCATTAATTCATATAACCAGGCTGGTAAATTTGTCACGGGCACTTTTCCCGTCCGTTTTCACCTGATTCTGTCTTTCCCATCGCGATTGCAACCTCTCTCCAGGCATTTTCCAACACAATTTTATTTGAGTGTACTAATTGTGGTGAACTGTCGTATAAATGCGGATGATATTAAATGCTGGTAAGCTTGTATAATTATTCCTCCTCGCACGCCATTGTATTCAAACCTTCTTCTGTTAACATGATATATTTGAATTAATGTACAATTCTTACAATGTCGCCCCCACCGATAACGCATAGTATTGCGTGCATCAGTGCGTCGCGTATCAAAAACTAGGACGACACATTTGGCTACGCATCGACGCATAATGGCGGCCAAAGCGTAGCGATGCATAGCCATGCGGACGCGTATGCGTACCGATGCGTTGACTATGTAACGGCCCTTACACTATGGTCCTCCATACATGAGAATGCAGATTATCACTATGTTTTATGGATGCCAATTGAAAACAATGAATAATGATGTCTGTATTAATTATCTTGAGCCTGCTGAAATGTTCCTATATTTTCTTTCCAACTATTCCATTCTGAATACATAGGCTAAATATATTTATCCACTAACCTGCAGCAGTCATGTGTCATCTTGTTCAGTATTTTTCTCTTATATTCTATACCTGAGTTTACATTTTTTTTAAATGAATTTGACTAAGTAAAAGTATTTCTTGTGTGCATTGGTAATAGTTGAATGAATAAATGAATGCTCGCGAGGTGCCTGTAACCATAGATATCATCTCTACTATATGATATCTATGCCTGTAACGATCAGAACGCATGCAGCGTTGAGGAGAATGACAGTCAACTTCTTTGAAAATTAATTAAGCATTTTGGGCATGAACATGTCAATAGTAAAACGATTGACATTGAAAAATGACACTGAATGATTACAATATTTAATCCAAATAAATAAATGGCCGTGTTTTGTACTGATGTTATTCATCTGTTCTCACACATTTACACTGACACCCTGTGGTAAAATAATGGCGTATTAACAGCAGCTTTCTCGGATTGGCTTGTTTTGGATTTGAACTTCATGTTCCGATGAGTTTTGAAAATTCTGCACGTACGGTAAACAACAGAATATTCCTTCTTATGTCAATAAAAAATTCCAAAATATAAAATCTTATTATAGACACTCATTTTAGGTGGCGTTTGTTCAACTCATTGACCGCAATACATTGAAAGTGAACATAACCGGGAAACAAGTGATGTGTATTGTTTCCAAACGGAAGTGCGTCGCGAAGTTCAGTGCAAGTGGTCCATTATATTTTATATATGCGTAATCTAGGATTTAAATACATTTTCATAACACATTTTTGAATGGTTATTAATCCTGTCAAACCCTCAATTATTCTGACTTTAAATAAAAATGAAATATTGTTATAAAATAATACTAGAAATATTGTTTTTTATTATGAAGTGAAAGGACAAGGTGTTTTATGTATAAACATTAGGATAGAAAACAATACATTTTCCCCGCTGTGAACAATGTAGGCAATGACAAGTAGTTCAGCTTCAGTCTCAAGCACGTTCGAAAATGACGCCATAAAGAAGTTGAGCGTTGTCATGGTTCTTTGTGTTGTGTTTGCCAGTTAACTTAGTTCAGCCGTGTGAAACACATAGACTACAGTCAGTCTTCGTTGTTTGTTTTGCAGTTTATTTGATAAAGTTACCCAACTGGTCAACTGTTATCATGGCAAAGCCCCTCGCTCAGTGCGACTCCTCCCCCTCAACATCCAGAACCGATGCGGCTACTGCACCGAGAAATGAGAGAAGTGCTGAGGGTAAGTTAAATCAAATGACCATTACAAATCCATCCACACGACCACGCATTATACCATAATTAAACTTAAGTTTTTTTTACAATGTTGTAACGTCTGCAAGAGTTTTAAATCTGCCCAGATGAAGACAAGGGGAAAAAAACAGTGGAAACGAACTGGTAACGTTATAGTTCCACGAGTGATTTATTGCGGCCCTTCCCTAGTTAGGCACACTGTTCACATACATGTTGAAAGATGCCAACAGGGAAATTAACACTGCAAAACGTCACAAAAACAAAGTGGAAGCAAAACACAATACAACAAAATAACAGCCAGCGATAGAGCGGTCATCTCTCTTCGCAACCGTCTTCACTCTACTGAGCGTGCGTGCGCGCTCACATTAACAGCACGCATACAATAACGTACGCAATAGACGTAGCTATCTTAAAGGCATATTAACATGTCACCAACACTTCTCAACTTTAGGTGGCCGTTACAGATCCCCCCCAGGAAGGTAAAGGCTGCCCTCAGCCGTGCACAACTGAGTACAACATCACTTTAAACAACCTCATACATGAAAAGTTGTCAAAACAACAGAACCATACAGGGGCATGTATTATTAAGGTACACACTGTCATACATGACAGAACATATGGACCAAAATACATTGTCTACAGCGGCATATTTCGAACAAACGAAAACAGCATATAACCAACTGGAGACATAATAAAGAACATTCTTTTATCTTTTTTTATACATTCTTCTCTGTTTTTTTTCACCATTGGAACAACAACATTTCAACAGACTAGTTATTAATGCTAATTCTCAATTTTCCTCTTTTTCATTTTGTTATTGACAGTGCTAGATCTTCTCCCTTTACAGTGTCAACCCAATCATATGGACATACATTCACACAATTTAAACCCTATTTAAGGTCCAGTCTGTCTGTGTGGTACACATTCGTCCACCTATTACTCGACCAGTCTGAGGTGATTCTCGGTGCACGTCGAGGTCTCAAGTCATAGTGGTTTCTGTCAAGATCATCATCATTAACAGTCAAGTCATTGTTCTGAGACCCAACGTCAACCTGCAGGTCAGGCAACCAATCAACACTGTCTCCAGTTCCTGATAAATCATGACCACTGTATGTCACTGGGCGATCACAGTCATCGTTAGCTTCAAAGTCTGTTAGGTCCCCAGCTGTTTCCTCCAGCACTTCGTCAACCAAAAACCTGTCAGCAGGCTCAGTCTCTGATTCAACAATTGGATCCCAGGTACGAAAAGGAAGCAGATTTACGACATGAAAAACACCTGTGTCTGCCCCTGTACTCACGTCTATTAGTCTGTAGTTCACTTCTGACAGTTTTTGTGCAATTCGGTAAGGGCCCGCATATAGAGGTGCTAGCTTAGCCGTGAAGTTTGCAAGGGCATCAGAACGGGGATGAGTCTTCACTCTTACCAACTCATTCAAGACACAGAACGACGTCTCTGATTGTAGTACTTCTTTCTCTTGTCATGGCTTTCATTCAAAGTGGACTTAGCATGATCATGTGCTTCTCTGATCGAGGACTCCAAGCTTTCTGGGTATGGGATACCCGGCTCATCTCCACCATCACTGTTCGGCTGAGTGATAAGGTCAAGAGGAGTATTCAATTCTCGTCCATACAGTAACATGGATGGGCTTTGGCCAGTGCTTTCGTGTGGTGCAGTCCTCAAAGCAAAACAAATTTGGGGCAGGTAACGATCCCAAGCTGTGTGCTTGTTACCAACATAAGCACGGATGGCAGTTTTCAATGTCCGATTCACCCTCTCCGTTGCATTTGTCTGGGGGTGATACGCAGTTGTAAGTCTGTGTTCCGACCCCAGGGTGGTGAGAACATGCCTGAAGAGTTCACTTACAAACGGTGATCCTCTGTCCGAGATCAGGTAATTAGGCACCCCATGTCGTGCAAACACCTCGCTAAGCAACTTGCTGGCAGCCACCTGGGCAGTCGCTTCTCTTACTGCACTAACCTCCACCCACTTCGAAAAATAGTCCACAAAAACCAGTATGTATGCATTACCGCAGGGTGTGCGTGGTAAAGGGCCCACAAAGTCCACTCCAGTATACTCCCAAGGTCTTTGAGGGCGGATGGGAACCATAAACCCAGCAGGTTTCCTCTGGCTTGGTTTTGTGAACTGGCAGACAGTACAGGAGGCGACATACCTCTTAGCGTCAGATGACATTTTCGGCCAGTAAAATCGAAGTTTCAGCCTTGCTATCGTCTTTGTCATACCAAGGTGGCCAGCCATCGGGTGATCATGATAATATTCCATCAAACTCCTTTTCATAGCCGTAGGTGTGTACAGTTTGAGGCGCTTCATCGGATGGAGATTACAAGCCACTTTGTCATCCACGAAGTACAGGAGTCCATCCTGGATCTCATACTGAGACAACTCGTCAGTGGCCCTCTCATCCTGTCCCTCCAACATCCGCAGAAGCTTTCCAGTCTCTGGGTCATTGAGCTGTAGCTGCCTAATGTGCTCTCGATCCGAAAAAAATAACAGGGGGTAAAGGGGTCAAGGCCCCCAATTATGGCATAGTCAGGGAGAAGTCCAAAGGGTACACTGCCGGAAGTAGCAGGGTTTCGAGAAAGTGCATCAGGCACTCTGTTGCTTGTCCCTGGCTTATGGACAATGTCAAAGTCGAAGTCCTGCAATCTGAGAGACCACCTAGCCAGCCGGCCTGAGAGGTTTGGGCGCGACATAAGCCATCTTAAACTGCTGTGATCAGAGAAGATAGTCACGTGTAGACCCTCAATATAAGGCCTGAAGTGTTCAAGGGCCCAGATGACTGCCAAGCACTCTTTTTCTGGAGTAGAATAGGGTTTTTCAGACTTATGCAGGGCACGACTAGCATAGGCCACAACAACATCCCTGCCATTGCTGTCCTTTTGCATAAGTGCAGCGCCAAGTCCACTATCGCACGCATCCGCATGGATAGAGAAAGGAAGAGAGAAGTCTGGAAATGTCAAAACAGGCGCGGAGGTCAGCTTTTCTTTGAGAAAATTCATGGCTGTCTGACATTCATCTGACCATACAAAAGGAACATCCGTCCTGGTCAACGCAAAGAGTGGCTCAGCATGGCGGGCATAATCGTAGATGAAACGCCTATAATAGCTGGTCATTCCCAGAAACTGTCTGACTTGTTTCACATTAGCTGGGGTATGGAAGTCCACTACTGCCTTCACTTTTTCTTCATTTGGCAGTATACCATTTGTGGTAATCTTATAACCCAGAAAGGTGAGTTCGCTCCTGCAGAACTGGCACTTTGCAAGCTTAATAGACAGTCCTGCAGATTCCAGCCTGGTAAGAACATCTCTCAGGTCCACAAGGTGCTGCTCGAAAGTAGGCGACGCCACCACAATATCGTCTAAGTATACGGCACATGACTTATAGATGAGACCCGCAAGGACTGTGTTCATAAGTCTCTGGAATGTGGCGGGCGCATTGCACAGTCCAAAAGGTAAGACCCGAAACTGAAATAACCCACAGTGGGAGATGAAAGCAGTCTTTGGTTTGGAGTCCTCCACCACCTGCCAGTAGCCTCTGGCCAAATCAATAGTGGAAATAAAAGTCCCTCTAGCCAGAAAGTCAAGAGATTCATCAATCCTCGGGAGGGGATACGAGTCTTTGACAGTGAGCTTATTCAGTGCACGATAGTCGACACAGAACCTTGGCTCTCCTGAATGTTTTGGGACAATTACTACTGGGGCAGCCCAGGGCCCTGAGGCAGGTTCAATAATTCCATCCTTCAACATGTCCTTGATTTGAGATTCAATGAGTTCCTTTTTAGCAGGAGAAGTGCGGTACGGGGCAAGGTGAACCGGTTTTGCATCACCCGTAACAATTTCGTGCTCCACTAGAGAGGTGCGTCCTAATCGTCCATCAAACAACCCACTGAAGGTTTTTAACATTTCAGTCAATTTGTTTTTCTGCTCATTTGTTAGGGAGGATTCTTCAACCTTCTCAGACAGGGCAGAAGAATCAACATCCAGGCAGGAGAGATCAGGACTAGGTATAGTTAAGTCAGCACCCTCTAATTCCTCAAGGGGCACCGGCTCATCGCCGAGCACTACTGTCCTGGATGGAACATGAATCGAAACTGAAGATCTCAACATAAAATCCATTCCCAAGATAACGGGAGAAGAAAGATTATGGACGACAGCAAAGCGGTGATAGAAACGCTGGCCCATGAAACCCAAAGACAACCAAATGGCACCCAGTGGGCAACAGGATGCTCCATCCGCAAGCTGTACTGGAGGTGCAGACCATGGTTTCAATCGTACGTCCCCCCAGGAATAGTCTGGACAATTGCTGATCGCACCGCAGAGAGAGAAGCACCAGTGTCAAGAGTTGCATCAAAAACTTGTCCATAAAGATTAACCTTCACTCTGAACGGGGTATTCCAATGGGATGTGGACACAGTATCCTCCACGTGACACAGCTCAGGTTGATCACTCATGGAATCATCAGGTAAGCGAGGCACAACTATCTTCTGGAGGGAGGATTGCCCCGTCTGAACGTCCTCCCTCCCCTGAAGTTTCCCCTCTGGGCAAAGTCTGAGACGACATTTCCTTCACCAGTGGCTTGGTCAGAGCCATGCATCCGTTCCACTTCTGACACTATATTCACTGTATCTCTTGGGAGTTCAGGGGGCTCCATTGGAGACAAACGTGGCTTTCCTCCTGGACTACAATTTGGGCATGTACGAGTGGTGAATCCTGGCAAAGAGCACTTAAAACAGTGAACATCCCTTGAGGGCGTACTGCTAGCTTGTCTCAGAGGAGGACACCCAACACTTGGGCCAAGGACTGCATGAAGCTCATGAGCCCGCAAAAGAAGGTCCATTACTGATGGTATGGGTGTGCCATAAAGAGCGACTCTGTATTTCTCAAGCACATGTTTCCGTATCAAGTCTATTTGCTCCAGTTGAGGCGGAGGGGACTTTAGCTTACGAAACTCACCCAACATGTGAGCGACAAAAGTCGGCAGTGGCTCATTAGGCATCTGCATACGGTCCAAAATGCCCCTCAGGATACGTTCTTGATTGTCCGAAGGCAGAAAGACTGTCCTAAAGAACTGATTCCAAGTGGTTAAATGTGTGCTAAGTGCTGCAAACCATTTTCTTGGCTCTTTTGACAGAAAACGTGGGAGCTCAAGGAGAATTTGGGCATCCGTGAGATCCAAAGAGGTCCTGTATACATTAAGTGACTGAAGCCATTCCTCGGGATTCAGGGAACCATCTGCAGCAAACATTGGTGGCTCAAGACGTGATTGGTGAAGCATAGTAGTAAGTAAATTTGTTGTTGCACTCATATCCACAGTGAGTGGCTGAACAAATGCAGGTACATTACTATAAGGTACATTGACTGGCACTGACCTTGGGGCTGTCGACTTAGACTGCGCCAAACTGTAAGGCATTGAGCTGGCTTGGGGAGCTGATTGTGGGGTAACAGGTACGGTACACTCTTGATGTGCCAAGCGGTCCATCATGTCTTTTTGTAGGTCGATGGAGTCGCGAAGGCACCGCTGCAGCACTGCCACTTCTGCTTGTAACAGCTTGAATTGAGACCGCAAATCCCCAACAGTATCCTGTGACGGCCCCTGTTGTAGAAAACAGTCTCCATCTGTAGGCCAGTCAGTTAGGTCAGACGGAAAGTCAGGGTGAGTAGCCATTATGTGTGAAAACACAACTAGATCAATTAATGTAAATAATAAATTGCAATATAGTAAATTTACACAAATATATGAATCTTGATTTTCACCCTTAACTGCAACCCAAAAATATGTTTACCAACAGTGTAACAGCAATGTGACCAACATATTTTTTTTTTTTTTTAAACCGGCAAAACTGATTGGCACAATAGTCTCAACAAAAATCAACCAAGTGTCCTTGTTGCCAATAGCGATATATTCACGTGCTGGCTTTAAGTGAGCAGACACGCACACAAAAACTAGAAAAAGAAAAAACTTGTGTCCCAGACGTGTTTTCTTACACACAATCTTCACTTTTCACCGTTCCTCGATGGCATTCGTGCATTAATGTCCAACGCAATGTCCGATCAAAAGATACGATTGTCTATTCTTTTTCCTTTTTTTTTTCTCTCGATGCAGTACAATATTCAGTTCAATCCAGTTCAATTAATGATCCACAAGGAAAACGTTGAAAAAGCATCTCCAAACGTTTATATACTAAAAAAAAATAGTGTCGAAAATAGTATCAGCAATCAGTCGAAACTCACAAAAACACACCAACAGCACCTGATAATCAGTCGCGCACCGACCGCGTGGTGTCCGTAGATAGCAAGCTAGTCAGCAAGGTCGCAGCAATGGGAAACCTCCAGCAACGAAATCCTCATCCAAAAAAAAAGAAAAAAGATTTGAACATCCATGTAGACAAAGAACAAAAGATGACCGGTATGAATCCAGTTGTTCGGGCGCCAATTTGTAACGTCTGCAAGAGTTTTAAATCTGCCCAGATGAAGACAAGGGAAAAAAAACAGTGGAAACTGTCACAGATTCAGAGGAGTCCAGAGTAGGTTGCAGAAATAACTCAAAACTTTAATACGAAAATAAATCACCGCCTCACAGGCTGAATAACAGAAAATGTCTTTTCACAGAAGAGAACAGAAAGTAGCTCTGCAGATGGAGATAAGGGGCCTCAGCTGGCCACCCAGAGTGGTCGGGAGCTATGGAACTGGTACAGCGCTCCTGTAGTCAGACCCTCAGCTACTCTCCTCGGCGACTGCTGAGAGTAACACAGAAGCAGTATAGCACAGCGGTAGGCAATGATCCTCTCAGACACACAGGACCAGACTGGACAGGACAAAACAGGACTGGTGGAAAAATTACTCAATGAAGTCAAACAACAGCGATCCAACATACGTTAGGGTCAAACAATAATCCGACAATTCAGACAAGGAAGAGAGGGCTAGAAGTAGCGTGGGGATGAGGAGAAGATAGAGAACAGGTGTGTAGTTGATGAGAATATGAGAATCAGCTGACGGTAATGAAAGGAGGAGAAAATAGAAGTGTAAGCGTGTGGAAAGAGAAGAAATGATGATGTCTAACCGGCAGAGGGAGACAAAGGAAAGAAAACAGAAAGAAAGAACCAGACTCATGACAGGAAACGAACTGGTAACGTTATAGTTCCACGAGTGATTTATTGCGGCCCTTCCCTAGTTAGGCACACTGTTCACATACATGTTGAAAGATGCCAACAGGGAAATTAACACTGCAAAACGTCACAAAAACAAAGTGGAAGCAAAACACAATACAACAAAATAACAGCCAGCGATAGAGCGGTCATCTCTCTTCGCAACCGTCTTCACTCTACTGAGCGTGCGTGCGCGCTCACATTAACAGCACGCATACAATAACGTACGCAATAGACGTAGCTATCTTAAAGGCATATTAACATGTCACCAACACTTCTCAACTTTAGGTGGCCGTTACAATGTACAATTGGGTTTACTGCCATATCTCAAATATTACTCTCACTGCTGTCCATGCTTGACATTTCATGTCAACAATACCATTAATCTTTTAACAGACGACATTCTGAGCCGGTTTAAAATCGGCAAAATGCTTGGTTTTGGAGGATTCGGCAAGGTTTATGAAGGGAAGCGCTTGGAGGATGGACTTGAGGTATAGTCATCTTACATTTATCAATTTAGCAAATTCTTTTTCCTCTCACTATCCATTTCAAGTCCTTTTATTGTATATTATGTTCACTAGGCTATGTGTTGCAATTTACATGTTTTAAATGTAATTGTAATGGGCTAAATGTTTTGTTTTGTTGATCAGGTGGCAGTGAAAATTGTCAAAAAGTCAAAGAACATGGAATACATCACAATTGTAAGTTTGAGCATGAAAACAACATTTTTCCAAAACTGAACAAACATATTTTATTCTAAAATCTTATAAAAATCCTCTAATCAACAATGATCTTTCTTCCAGCCTGGTCATCCTACACCCGTCCCATTAGAGGTCGTCATGTTAAAATATGTTAATAGGGGCAAGAAAGTTAAAGAGATCATTGAACTGCTGGACTGGCAGGACCAGCCTGACCAATATATCATGGTCTTGGAGCGTCCCCCACACTGCGAAGATGTGTTTCATTTTTGGGATAATCACAAACGCATCCTCAGGGAGGAAATGGCATGGACTATCATGGCACAGGCAACAACGGCTGCTCAGACGTGCTGTGACCGAGGAGTTTTCCACAGCGACATCAAGTTACAAAACCTGCTGATCAACCCAGAAACACGTGAGGTCAAACTGATTGACTTCGGGTGCGGGAGATTCCTGAAAGAGTCCGCCTATGACGACTTCTGTGGTATGTATTATGAATCAAGGTTTGAAAAGAGTTTTTATTTTTTAAATCTAGATGAATATGTTCTCACTAAATATGTCACCTCACGCCTGGTTTGGCCATGGATTGATCTCACTTTTAAAACTCCAGATTTGTGAATAAAACAACTAAATTATTCATTTACTCTAATGGATACAGAAGGTGTTGATACACGGGGCAACTTTTTTGAGCAATGTTGCAGAGCGATGTTCCTTGGGCGCTTTCTCATTGAGAATGGGCAACAAATTTCTATCTGGGTACTTTAGATCGGTCATGGGCCCTTTATCTCACCTGGTTTCCTGTTAACGGCAACATTGCTCAATAAGTTGCCCCGTGTATCGTCACCTAGAGAAAACATGCTATAGGATTTCAAACTTAACCATCAGACAAATCTCTTTCTAGGAACAAGACCGTACTGTCCACCTGAGTTCCACACATTGCACAAGTACCACGGTAAACCAGCTACTGTGTGGTCTCTGGGAATGCTCTTATTCCAGATGGTGTGTGGACGCTTTCCAGAAGCCAAAGACCATCTGAGGATTAAGAAAAACATCTGGTCTGAGCGTCACTTGTCAAAAGGTAAAATTGCATTCATTATAAAAAAGATGATCAATTATAATTTCAAATCACCAAAATAGAACAAATGAAACAAAGAAGTAACAGTAACACCAAAACCAGAAAGCTTCATAAAATATGGCTGTTACCAGTTCCAGTTTTTTTTAACCGTACAGTATAGCGTAGTCTAATCTCACAGCTTAATAGAAAGACAGCAGGTGTAAAGTTTAAGGTCTCTTCACAGATTGCTGCAAACTGATTCGACGCCTCCTGCAGAAAGACCCAGCCCAACGGATTGGTTTGGAGGAAATCATTTCCCATAATTGGTTTAAGGTAATGACCCTAATAAGCTAGAAATGAATTTGGTGAAAATCGAAAAATTAGAAAATCATGCAAAAGTTAATTTATTTCAATAATTCAACTTAAAACGTCAAAATAAGGGACTCATTACATGCAGAGTGTGATATTTCAAGCCTTTATTTGTTATAATTGTGATGATTATGGCGTACAGCTATGAAAACCTTTTCACAATATTCGAACTGAATTTGGGGTTTCATCCATAATCATCACAATTATAACAAATAAAGGCTTTAAAGCCACAATATGTATTTTTTCTGCTTTAAAAATAGCAAAAATAACTGTATCTATGTTATATATTTCTATTAGATGTGTACTTACATTATCCCGACAGTTTCAAATACGGAGAAATTTGTAGTTTAATTCGAAGACACGGGACGTTTTCCTATTTCCGTTTCGTCGCCCGTCTATGCCATCATATAACCTTTGACTCCTCTATTTTCTCTAACTTCCTTGTGGAACCAGGCGAAACCGTCAAACACAAAGGGGAACACTGGACTACCGTCAATAAAGCAAAGAAAATGACGAAGAAAAAAAAGCAGTACGTATTTTTATGTGTGTAAATCACGTGCCCGCTCACGAGCGCTCACTCTTAACAGACACACTGTCCCCGGTGCTGCTCGCGCATAAAGCGCTCCCCGTTCACAGTAACCGGTTCGTCTCATTCAAATCAGCCAACTGTTGCTGTTAGCGAGCCGCGCACATTGAATACTCTTATGAGTATGCTCATGCTTACTAAATAAACGCCTCACCTCCGGTGCCGCGCACTCACTATATTCCCTTTAGCCTTTAGCACATAGTGGATGCATAACGCAAACCCAGTCAAACGTTTGACTGCAGTATCTTTATAGTATCTAAGCAGTATGTGCTTTATAATCCGGTGCGCCCTATAAATGAAAAATGTTCTAAAATAGGTCATTCATTGAAGGAGCGTAATATAAATATTTATATTCGTCTACTGCGGTCTGTATTATAGTTATGGACCACGATTACGCTTTGCCTGCACGTTCTGCTGCTACAGCCAGCTCATTAGCTAAAGCTCAAACAAACGTACCTGAAAAATATGACCCGAGAAGGGTTTGGGACAGGAGAAGCATGACACAGGTAAACATTGGGGTTGCATTTAAAGCTTCTCGACAAGCTAAATCTACAGAGAGATGCCGTATATCCGTATATTTTGTGAAACGATGATGTCATGCCATGAGCAGAGCTGGTTGTCATTGACAGCGACAACAACTCCCGTGAGCCCACGCTCTTTCCCGACGTCATCAAAGTACGTCTTTTGTTATTATTTTAAATGAGTGACCCCTGGTGGCCAAAAATTTCATACTGTACGTTTAAATGTCTCACTTTGCATGTTATGAATCTCTATAACATATTAGTTTCACCTTTTAAAGGTGCCATCTGGAACTAAAAATCAAAAAATATTCCATATTCCATAACAGATGGGGGCAGTATACCTCCAGAAAATGTGTTGTGCCGCGGCCGCACACACTCACGTCTTCAAACAACACAAGCGAGCGCTGTTTTGCTCTCTTTCTCCGCATATTATTCAAATCATTTGTCACGATAGTAAAAGGTCGGAAGACCGCAGTTTCACGTGGAGCATTTGGAGATTTTTAGAGATCAGAGACTCAATGAACAACATCTCAACACTAAATGATGAAGACCGACTCATAGACGCTTGTCTCAAAAACAAGCTGTTGCATTTCGACGATATGGGAAAATAAAAGCCTGCGGGCTATTATTTTAAGTTTACGGTATTCGTTTTGTTCATATTACACTTTTATTGTTAGTTTGAATTAATTTGACAGACAGCATTCGCTGATGTTGATCAACCTAGCGCCATTCAAAGCTGCCAACTCTCACGAATTCACCGTGAGACACATGCAATTAACACTTAGCAAGCAGGTTAGTTAAGCTCTTAGATTCTGTCAATTTTATTATGCAATTCAAACAATAAATACCGTTTTGGCGCTTGTACATGTTACACCAGAGATCCCTAGCGCATGTGAACCGATCGTCTCTACTAGCTAATGGAAAAAGAACCCGAACACTGTTGAAAGATACAGTATGCTACAACTTACCAAAATGTATTCCTCATGTGTGATATCGACCAATCATTTTTTGAACTCTTCCCTGAACTGAAATGTAGTATTAGGCTGTATTTCCACACGACTGACATCAGGTTCAAGTACACACACAAGCCGGCGCGAGCGCGACTCACTCGTGTACTGCAGTTTGGCTGGTGGTAACGTTGCCCGCCTGCATATCGCCTCCCATGGCCGGAACTGGTATTACGACACCTGCCGGGCCGGGGCTAGTAATTTAGCATGCTAATTTAGGTTTATATCTCGGCAGCACTATAACTTGTCAGTTTTTTAATTAGATCGTTGCACTTATTTCTTCTCATTCTTTTGTTACGTGTAGCTCATTTTTTGGATATTTTTACCTCAATTATTACAGATGGCACCTTTAAGTTGAATTACGTAAATAAATGAACTTTTGCACAATGTTCTAATTTTTCGAGTTTCACCTGTATATTAATATTTGGAAGACAGTTTTTTTGTCTATTTGTTTGATATGTTCTTAGTTTATTGTGAAACAGGAAAAGTCAAGGTCAGATCTCTTATATGTGTAATGTATGTTTATCATCAACCTGTTAGAAAGGGAAGCGATAGTCAGGAGAGACAGAAGAGGAGGAGTAGGTCGGAGCAGCAGCTGAGGTCAGGGTCAGAAAGTGGACGATCAGACCACTGCAGCCACTAGCGAGAGAAGTTTTCTGTTTATTAGAGCTCTGTACATCATTTTCAGAAAGATTAATGCAATCCCATATATACCTAGAAAACTGGCATGCCGCCTGCCAATTAAATAATCCAAGAAAGTGAAAACGTGTATTTCTGTTACTGTGAATAATGGCGAAAGGTGAAATGTATATTTTTTTTCTCCAATATTTTTTTCCCCAAAACAGTTGCTATCAAAACCCAAATTTAATGGAGTGGAGAAGATCAAAACATGAACATACATGGCTGCTACGGGAATGAATGTGACCCCTGGACCGGATTACGCACAGGTACTCTGTTTCTCTGTCCAGGTCGTATCCAGATTGATCCGACGCGGCTGAAAAGCATCAACCATTTGAGGAAAATGAGATGCCGATGAGAAAGAGGACAAGGACGGGAAGTTTTGTGAAGCTGCCGTCTCTTCATTATCGCAGCTCAGACCAGACCACTGCACCGATAAATGAGAGAAGTGCTGAGGGTAAATCAAATGACCATTACAAATAAGAATCACCATAATGGGTATGCAGTGTGTAATTATTATGTATTTCACACAGAACAGTTAGATATTGAGCTGACACTTTTTATCCAAAGCATCATTTATTTGAAACGTGAAATTCTCTACTGGACAGTGCCTGTGCTCTAGAGGATCATGGTCTTCAGATACCTCTATCCAGTGGTCTTGAAGTCGTTCCTCCTGTAGATCCGCAGGTTCAAACCCCTTCAGCTCCAGTCCACCACAGTCCAGCACCAGATCACAGAGTGGACGTAACAACTGAGGGTGAGTTTACTGCCACATCTCAAATATTACTCTCACTGCTGTCCATGCTTGACAGAATGTCAACTATAACCATTAATCTTTTAACAGACGACATTCTGAGCCGGTTTAAAATCAGCAAAAAGCTTGGTGTGGGAGGATTTGGCCAGGTTTATGAAGGGAAGCGCTTGGCAGATGGTCTTGAGGTATAGTCATTTCTTACATTTATCAATTTAGCAAATTCTTTTTCGTCTCACTATCCATTTCAAGTCCTTTTATTGTATATAATGTTCACTATGTGGTGCAATTTACATCTTGTAATTGTAATGAGCTAAATGTTTTGTTGATCAGGTGGCAGTGAAAATTGTCAAAAAGTCAAAGAACATGGAATAAATCAGAATTGTAAGTTTGATCATGAAAACAACATTTTTTATTCTAAAATATTATAAAAATCCTCCAACCAACAATGATCTTTCTTCCAGCCTGGTCATCCTACACCCGTCCCATTAGAGGTCGGCCTGTTGTTAATAGGGGCCCCAAAGTTGAAGAGATCATTGAACTGCTGGACTGGCAATTATTTTTTCCCTAAAAATTTGACTATTTTTTTCTCAACAGTTGCTATCAAAACCCAAATTTAATGGAGTGGAGAAGATCAAAACATGGACATACATGGCTGCTACGGGACTGAATGTGACCCCTGGACCGGATTACGCACAGGTACTCTGTTTCTCTGTCCAGGTCGTATCCAGATTGAGCCGACACGGCTGAAAAGCATCAACCATTTGAGGAAAATGAGATGCCGATGAGAAAGAGGACAAGGACGGGAAGTTTTGTGAAGCTGCCGTCTCTTCATTATCGCAGCTCAGACCAGACCACTGCACCGATAAATGAGAGAAGTGCATGTCTTCCAAGACATGTCTTAAAAATTGTTAAAAAAACTAAACTGTTACAATAATCATGTTACAATCAATGCTACAATAATCGTTACATCATAAGAAGAATGGCATCTATGCTAATTTTAGTGTCTTTGTTTATTCAGAGGTTTTCCCGCAGCCTGCCGTATCCAGATCTGGCGATGACCTTAGCCTGGACACGATGACAATGACAATGCAGTGCTGAAGTGCCAACTAGCCTGTCCCTATGGAGGATCCCTTTCCCACTCTACAGATTAAGCGATGTGAATTCGTTTCGCGTCCCTACCCTGAAGTGATTCGAAAATCTGTATCAAATTTATAGACAAGAAGTTTGTTCAGGCATGAGGGAATTTAAAAACCTGCGCGCATATATTCAAACGCACATAACTATTGAATCAATTCTTAATGCGCATGTGAACGTCATCAGCAGGGCTGTTACTACCAATTTATCACAGGTTTGCGTTTAAAGTCTATTTAGAAACATTCATATACATTTTTACGTGACAGTTACTGTAAAAAAACTAGAATCCTCTAGTTCATAAACGCCAGAGGAGAACTGGCCCCCGACTGAGCCTGGGTTCTCCCAAGGTTTTTTTTCCTCCATCGGGTCACCTGATGGAGTTTTTCAGTTCCTTGCCACTGTCGCCTTTGGCTTGCTCAGTTGGGGATATTCAAATCAATTATACTACAGGGCTGTTGAACGCTTGATTCTGATTGGTTGAGAATGTTCTAAAGGTGTGCAATTATTTTCACGGCTAAAGTAGTTTCAGGCAAGTTTGAACCGCATTACAGTTCCATATCACTGCGCGTAGTTAACGAAAAATAGGATACAATTCATATCAAGAAAAGACATGCAGCCCCATGCGCTTGATCTGCAATTTTCGATATCTAACTTCACAATCAATGGACACATACAGTTTAATTTTAATAAATAAATTAATAGTCCTGCTGCACGGATTTTCGTAATTATTCCAGATAATATAACAAATAAATAATTATTCCTAGGCCTACTTGTAAAAAAGTGCTTTGTGTGTTTCATTTATTGGGTTATCTACTGTCAATTATAGAAAACAATAATGAACTAATTAATTAAAACAAAGTTAATAAATAAATAATAATATTGACGCACATGCTTTTCTGTCTCATTATTTCAAAGTCTCTCTCTCTCTCTCTCTCTAATAACTGCATTATGCATTAATTTGTTCCTTCATCTTAATTAGTACAAATGTGTTTAAGCTCCATACCTCCATAAGGTGTCTTTCCGGTACTGTTCAAGATTCAGTTTTAAATTAACGGGGCTATGGTCTGAAAGGTCCATGCTCCCCACGTCACAGCCAACTACCCTATTTAGATCTATTTAGAAAGTTAAAGGGATCATGAACTGGCTTTTTAAATTGTATTATATTGTTGTCTGAGGTCAACTTATAACGTTCGCTTGGTTTTTGCATTCAAAAACATCAAAATGAATAAGTAATAGGCTATTTTGTACCCTGGATGTGAGCCTTCCTAAAAAACAGTTGGTTTTGTGTGTCGCACTGAAGACTTGGAAGTAAACACCCACTGCTGCGAGTGGATAACAGTTTTGCATATTATAATGAGTTTAACTCACCCGTCGGTGCACATGGGGGAAAACGTCCAATGTTGTAAAATACATGTTCAACCCAGAGTCCGTGTGTTGCACAATATTCCTGTCAGATCCAAGACGGCACAGTACCGTTCTTTACTCTTAATCGTCTGCAAATCCAGTCTTGTTGACAAAACAATCCTCAGTGAGATGAAGCGAACAGACGACGATGTTTTACCCTCATCAGCTGGAACGTCATTAAAAATAAAGTTTATCCATGCAGTCCTATTGGAATCCACAGGAAGCTTATGCAGCGACTGTCTTGCACAACCAGCCACTGCACAATATTCTGTATTGCTCGGTAGAACGATCCGGTTTGTCATCACGAGGTAAGCATGTACATGTATGATACTTAGCTAATCGGTGGGCGGGGCTAAACCTGCCGTGGTGAAGCAGGCGTTGATCATCTTCTGTGGGGGTGGTGTCCTCTTTGTCGTCATAGTTCCCCACTTTTAAAAAACAGTCGTTTGCTGAGGCTGGTGTCAATAAAAGCTTTTATTGGACTAACAAGGATGTTTTCAGTTCTGAAACTAGGATATTTTTATAATATGATGACCTCTTAGATGTCAAAAGCTCAAGGAAAATTTGATTTCTCAGTTCATCACCCCTTTCCAAAAAAAAAAAAACAATCCTCGAGTACGCCAAGTGTGGATTTGAAAAAAAAGTGTAGTCTCTCTTTGAAGGGTTTAATTCTCTCCAGATATCAATTAACCCGATTGCTCTCATAGACAAATTATTATTATTATTTTTTTTATCAAATTGGTTTATTAACTTCTGGTGCAACTTGGACACGTCATCAGTAAAGTACCCGGGGTCATAGGGTGTTTCGGGTCTTTAATCTCTATACACCCTCACCCGGGCGACCCAGCCGGGGGTGATCAGTCCCCGGCTTGTGTCCAAGTGGCATGTTGCTCCACGTTTCCCCCCTACGGATCCACAGCCACAGAGAAGCCCTCTCTGCGGCCTCTAAGATGTTTGTGGTGGCCTTCTTCAACTGCAGTCCTTTCACTCCAAGGAGTTTGAGGGCTCGCAGCATTGAGCGACCAGCGAAGCCTCGGCACCCGACCTCGACTGGCTCGCAGCGAACTTTCCAGCCGTTGTCAAGTCAAGTCACATTTATTTATATTGCGCTTTTCACAATACAGATTGTATCAAACAGGGTGGCCGCGGGTCTTTAAAAAGTTTTAAAAAGTTGTTGAATGCCTCGAAATAAATGTATTTACAGCGTTACTAAACTTAACGTGTCGTTTATTTTATTATTCCACATGACATGTCCTTCACTTCACTCTTTACAATACTCTTACACACCAGAGCTCCCTCTAGATGTTTACTATAGAACACCACAAAAGTCTTAAAAAAATCCTAAAAATAAGGCCTTAAAAAATATTAAATTGTCTTAAATTCAGATTGGATAGGTCTTAAATGTTTGTCATGTCACTGCAAAGATGCAGGCAAAGGTAACCTGTGTGTGTGTTAGAGACACACGGGTGCGATCGAACTGTGGAGTCATGAAAAACATCCGTCATTTTGTTCATACAGGACAACATTCAGTCTGCAGTGTTAACTTATATTTGTGTAGGCCTATACTCGCATTAAAACACAGTTTTAAAAGCAAAACATATGTAATGTCTGTCAGAGTTTGAGGTCTGCACAGATGAGAATAGGAAAGACAGTGCAAACGAACTGGTAGTTCCACGAGTCCTTTTATAGTTGCTTTCTTTCAGTTAAGCACACTCTTCACATACATGTCGAAAGAGCGGATGTTAACAGGTTAAAGCTTTCTTATACTGTCCATGTCTTAAAGGCATATCAACATGTCATGAACACTACTGAACACTAGGTGGCCATTACAGAGTTCCATCTTTTGGACATTCATCATATCGCATTGGTTTTCATTTCTTGTCCTCAAAACAGAGCACTAATCTGTTTATTCTTAAGTTTTTGTAGTATTATTTTAAACAGAAATCAATTATTTATAATGATGAGAATAAAGTTAGGGTTAATTAAAGTTAAGGAAAATAAATATATTGATCTGGGTCCGTGTACGTTGCGTTCATTCGTTTTTTGATTTGATATTGAAAGTAGAAAAATGAGAAAACGGCTCATTTATTCTTTTTTCCAAAAAAAATTAAAAAATGAGAATTCAGCTTGATTTTTTATATTTTTATGTTCACGGATAGAAAATGGAAAAATGGATTGAATATTCGATTTCGTGTGGACGTGCATGAAACGCCCCTTTCCGCTGATTGATCAACCAAATATCAACACTTTCAGCTCTTCCACAGTTTTTAACAGTTTCCACAGAATAACAGTCCTCCGCTGCTGGACTGATTCTTTAACACAAATCGCGCTGAGCAGGCCTAGAAAGGGTTTTCTTGATTCAATGGTTCAATGTCCCAAATATAGCCAAGTGGTTCATGAATGAATCAGCGTTTTGAACGAATCGGTTGATTGAATGACTCACTGACTGACTGACCAGAGACAGGTACGTGCTGCCACCTACTGGGGGTCTTAGTCTTATAATCTAAGTATTGTTTCATTTTGTCATTAATTTCATATTAGGCTATTCAAAATGTTATATTTTAAACGTTAATATCATAAATGTAATTGTAATTACTGTGTAAATCCTTTGAGCAGCATTAAACAGTTAATAGTAGGCTTATAGGATCTACATGCCAGTTCAGAATTCAGATGCAGCTTCTTTGGTTGATACCATAGACTGTAAAAAAAAAAAAAAATACTAATTTAATTTGATTGGTAACAGCTTATTGTCTTATTACTCTAATTGAATTTGTCGATTAAATTTCCAAATTTTTTTTATAAAAGATGACAAATAGCCTATATTTAAAAAATATTAGAATAATTGCCCTGGAAAAGGTAAACATAATAAGCTATGAAAGCTATAAGCTATGAAAAACAAACAAACAAAACAACAACAAAAAAACGAATAGAATAACAACCTAAATAGATGCGCTGTGACATTAACACTAAATAATGCAATTTATATCTTTTCATATCAATCATATTTTAGCTTCATCCCTTGTCCAAAACTCAATGTGCAGTCTAAAATAATAGTTATGACGCGCTGTCCAGTGGGTTACCCAGCTTTGAAGTAGGCTAATGATGTGGGTTCAGATGCGAGATAATCTACATAATATTTCTGAAATAATCAGCTAATATTTATCTAGTGTATATTGTCGAATCCATGCCTATAGAGAAGAAAACCCTTTCCCTGCCCAGCGCGATTTGTGTCAAGCATTAGTCCGGTTGTTGGATTAGAGAGAGTTTATTTGTAATAAACACTTTAAGAATCCGTCCAGCACCGGAGGACTGTGGAAGAGCTGAAAGT